TTATAAGACACTATAGAGGAAGTTATTACATAATACAATACTAGGAGAAATTAAATAATTCTTAATATACTGACAGAATATACCTCATTCCCTGATTGTAATACATACTCAATATTGCAAAAATATCAGTTCTTCTCAAATGAATCTATAAATCTATCATAAAGCCAATCAACATCTCAATAGAAAATTTGTATTGACAAGCTATTTTAAGTTTACATCAAGACGTATTGATGAAAAATAGTTAAAGAAATTTTCAAGGGTGACGTAAGCTGTTAAGATAAAGAAAATAGATACTTATTTATAAGAATCAGAGTTTAGGATAAGGAAAAGGAAGCTATTTCAGTAAATGATGAAATTGAGCCAATTGACTATACTTATGGGGGAAAACTAGACCTTCTTATATCAATTCTCACTTATTAACCCTTGTAATACTTTTCTTTCATAATTTTCTCTTTTTTTTTTTCCAGGAATACCAATTAGATGTGTATTTGAACAGATATCTTCTATTTCTCTTTGTTTATCTTTTATATTTTACATCTTTTTTCTTTTGCTAAATCTTTTCAATTTCACTAATTCTATTAATCCACGACTTTTGTCTTTTTAACTGCAATGTTCAAGCTTACCACCTGCTTCTAGGAAATCCTATACAGGGTGGCTATGGGTCGGTGTCTACTTGATGAAACTGAACAACAACAATAACAATTTTTTAACTGATAATTATTCAATTAAATAAGGGAAAAAAAACTTATAAATTATGTTTCCCCAAAAGATGTGTTGTAAAATTCAAACTGGGAAAGAATTGTTATTTTTCAGTTAATGAGATAGAATTAGTTTAGGGTGTATTGTGAGTCAATTCCTTTGGAGATAGGAGATTAAACAAAGGAGCAGAGGAGAGATGGAGTAAAATACATGAAGTTTTACAAGGAGCCAGGTAGCAAAACCTGAAGAGACAAAGCTTTCCTCCAGAGCCCAGAGAGAGTGAGGGCCTTCCTCTAAAGGCTCTGTTCTGATGAAGCACTGGAGATACAAAAGTTAAGGAACAAAATAGAAAAAATCTACCTTCATAGACTTTACATACTTAGAATTCTTAATTTACTGACAGAATATACCTCTTAGGTGTGTAATTCTGACTTTTTATTTTTTTTTTTCTGCTGCTATCACTTATGTTGAACTAATATCTGCTTACCAACAACAAGAAATGGTTTTGTAACATCTAAGGTGAAGTTATTCTCTCCAAAAGAAGTCTATTGCTTACTTGTTCAAATATAATCGGTAGTCCCCTAAAAGGTATGTTTACAGTTTTGACACAGAATATCATAAAAGCCTTTGTGTAAAATTAAATGACTTTATTTCTATTAAAATGGTAAACATGTGAGGCATTCTGAAACAAATATACAGCTGGAAAAAGACACTTATGCTCTAAATCTCTGTTTTAAGAAAACAATAAATTTCTGTGAGAATCACTGTATTCAAATAACCATAAACACATCAATGAGCAAGCTCCTCCCATCCTACCCCCTTAAAAAAAGATTGTTTCAAGGAACACAAATTCACTTCTGTTAGAAATAGTCTAGAATTTAGGAGAACTGATTTAATTAATCTAAGAAAGAAAAACCACACAGAGAAAAACAGCATAGTCCTGAGGATTCATTCTCATTACTAGTACGTTTCCAGTAAATTAGCAAAACTATGAATGCACTACACCACAAAATCAAACCAGGTAGTGTGCTCCTTGATATCACCTATCTTCACAAAGCTATTTTGGGGGTGGGCAAAAGACAGAAAAATTCTTAGCTGGGGTCAGTAAGCAGACTTCTTAAGCAGTAAGTAGAGATGTTGTTGTTGTTGTTAAGTGCCATCGAGTCAGTTCCAACCCATAGAGACCCCGTAGAGGGTTTCCGAGGAGCAGCTGGTGAGCTTGAACTACCAACCTTGCAGTTCAAAGTGCTTTGCAGTCTGAACTGCGCCACAGCGCCACACCAGAGCTCCAAGCAGTAACTATAGATACTATCCAAGAGAGAGGTGAATTTCAGTAGACAAAGACCAGAGCTTTGATAAACAGAAAGACAGCACAATCACGGAATACTCCTAATAAGCATTTTAAATCTTGGTTAATATTAAAAAGCAGTTTCCACCTCAGAATATCTGAGCACAAATAAAAATTCATTGAATAGCTATGAATTGTTGTTGTTGTAGTTAAGTGCCATCGAGGCGGTTCCGACCCATAGCGACCCTGAACAGGGTTTCCGAGGCTGTAAATCTTTACAGGAGCAGAAAACCTCCTCTTTCTCCCGCGGAGCAGCTGGTAGTTTCGAACTGCTGACCTTGAGGCTCACAACCCGATTTGTAACCACTACGCTACCAGAGCTATGAATAGATAACATCAAATTAATGTCTTAGAAATTACATAGTCAAATGATTTCAAATAGCTAAACAAAAGAAAAAAAATAAAAGATAATTCTTAATTACTTGCGATTCAAATTCTTCATTTGCACTTGACCCCAGTTTTTTGGGAACTGTAATTTGTAAACCCACTTGTACGGGATCTGTGAGGAGCAAAATGGATTATTAAAACACTCACCACCTAATAAGGTCCTTCTATATTTCTACATCTAAATGCAAACTCTGCATTTTACATGTCATCTTTACAAATTCCATCGATTCCCCACTTCTTTCTATAATTATAAATCTTAAATTGAAAATTACAACTTTAGGAATATTTTCCTCGGTACAGCAAGATCTAAACCTCCAAACTTGAGGCGTTCACTTGCGTCAACCAGACGCCCATCCCTCCCAGGTCAAGAGGGGGAGTCTCCTCCCTCATTCCAATGTGAATTTTGGTTGGGGAAAGCATGTGATGGGGATGGGCTCGGGCTTTAAGGATAAATGTACTTGGACTTTCAGCTGACATTTTCTCCCCCAAAATTTACCATAACCTGTCAAGACTCCCATAAGTCCAAAGAACAGAAGAAAGAGGCTAAACATGGTGTGACCTTCTGGATTCCAGTCGGAATAATGGCAGTTAACTAGGCAGTTTGGCGCGTGGTGGGGGAAAATACAGCCTGGCAGTGTACCCTGCAAGAAGCAGATCACCGGAGAGCGGAGGCGGGCTGAAAGTGTGGGTGATGTCAGCGCTGAACATAAAACTATCATGGCCGAGAGATCACATACACACAGAAGCTTCAACTCGATTTGACTCCAAAACCGAAGAAAGTAGAACTACTTCCTAAAGGCAAGAGAAAAGAAACATCATTAACATGAAGATAAAAAAGTAAGCAGAACAAACTATAATTTATAAGAAATTCATCATTGTACAGCTGAAATAATTTTAAAAATTAAGCATACCTATGTAACACAGACCAATAAATATGTTGCCAGAACCACATGATACACTTTACCAATCGTTTCCAAAGATTATTTTTTGCCTCTTCTTGAACTTTATAAAAATGGCATAATATATAGTCACCATTTTGTACCTTTCTTTTTCAGTATTTCATGTGATTGGCCCATGATGTGTATGTAGTACTGATTCATTCTCATTGTTGTATATTATTCTATTTGTGAAATGATACTGAACTTTTCTATTTTACTATTGGTTGGGGTGCTTAATGTGCTGTGGAGTTGGAACCGACTCTTAGCGACCTTGTACAGGGTTTCCGAGGCCGTAAATATTTACGGGAGCAGAAAGCTCTTATTAAACATCTTTCCTGGTTTTAAACCATGCAGTATTCCCTTGCTGTGTTCAATGACTAACTCTTTATCTGTGTATTGACAGATGAATGGTGAAACATTAAACATTCTTACGCAGGTTGTTTTTTGTTTTTGTTGCTAAATGCCGTCAAACCATTCTAAGTATAGGGTTTCTGAGGAGTGGTTGATAGATTTGTACCACTCTTGCTGTTAGCATATCAGTGTTTATTCTCCAGCTCTATATCAAAACCCCTTTTTAACATTTACATTCATTTTATTGCGTCTATACTTAGGAATGGAGTCCTGGTGTGGCACTGTGGGTTAATGCGTCAGACTGCAAAGTCATTTGAACTACAATGTCAGTGGTTCAAGCTTACCAGCTGCTCCTTGGAAACCCTATACAGGGTCGCCATGGGTCAGAATCGACTCGACGGCACTTAACAACAATACTTAGGAATAAAGATATTAGTTTGAGGTGTAAGGGGCAACTGACCCCAATACAAGCCCTTGTGTTTTTAATTGCCTCATGTGCATATGAAAGTTGGACAATGAATAAGGAAGACCATATAAAAAACAATGCATTTGAATTATGATATTGGAGAAGACTATTGAAAACACCAAGAACTGCCAAAAGAACAAGCATCTGTCTTGGAAGAAGTATAGCCATAATGCTCCTTATAAGTCGGGATGGTGAGACCTGTCCTCAGAGGACATCATGTTTAGTGAAATAGAGGTTCAGTAAAAAAGAGGACGACCCCTCCCCAAAAAGATGGATTGACACAGTGTAGCAACAATGGACTTAAATACAACAGTTGTGAAGATGGCGAAGGACCGCTCAGGGTTTAGTTCACTACGACTCAGAATCAACTTGATGGTATGTAACAGCAATAGCATATTTATGAATGGAATTGTTGAGGACTGTAATAGTTAGGATTCAGAGTCAACTGTCCACAATTTCCAGAGGTTTAGCAGTTGTGGGTTAATGTACTGGACTACAAGGCTAGTTTGAGTTGGAACCTATACAGGGTCACTATGAGTCGAACCAACACTACAGCACTTAACAATAACAACAATAAGCAATTGGGATGTGCTTATTACCATGGTGATGAAACCTAATTCAGATGTAGCTAGCTCTATGATGAGCAGCCAATGGATTGAAGGGATGCTTCCTTGGGGGTGTGGTCTGCTCTCAATATAACGGGCACATGGGAGGAATTCTGCCTCTGTCTTCCCCTGGGGACTTAGGGCTCTAAGACTGTGAGATAATAAACTTATCTTTATATATAAATATACATGTTTTACTGGTTTTGCTTATCTAGAAAACCTGGCCTAAAATAGTTACAAAAAAGAAAAAAGAAAAAATTTGTTTTAGTGGATACTGCTATACACTTTTCTCAAATGATTGATCATGTTACAATAGTACTAACACTGTATAAAGGAGCCCTGGTGGTGTACTGGATTACA